GGAAGGAAGGAAGGAAGGAAGGAAGGAAGGAAGGAAGGAAGGAAGGAAGGAAGGAAGGAAGGAAGTTGGAGTACAACTCCCACCACCCTCTAACCAGAACTGTCCATGGTGACACATGATGGGTTTTCAAGTCCATCCATGCCCAGAAGGTCACCGACCGCCTTCTCTCCCTTCCTGAAGACTGAGCCAGCCCAGCAAACCAGACTTAAAGGCAGCAGTTGAGCTGAAGCCTCTCCTGGCCTTGTGCTATTCGAGGATTTGGCTGTGAGGCTGAAGAGAGAGCAAAGCCAGGAGTGCTCCTGGCCACACACACTCAATCTTCCTGCTGGCCTGAGCATCTCCCGAAGCTTTATTTAAAGCCCAAGGCAGGGAGCTATTGATAGCCTCTGTGCTTGGCAAAGCACACCATCGCTCAAGGGGATTACAGGGAAGATTACTCAAGGAACGTGTCAGAATGCCTGGAACCTCCCTTGTATTGTCTTTTCCTTCTGTTTCTACTCCTTCGAACACAGGACACGCGGGCAAGGACAGAAGTTGTTTCCTTTACAATTCCATTGCAGTTCCCCTGATATTTTCGTTGAGTAGAAATCTTCAAATTTCACTTTCCTAGTTCCAGGGAATGAATGGTCTTAAGAGCTCATGGCAAAATTGCCCATTCTTGCAACTTTTCCTTGCTGGTACGCGGTTCCTGGAAAGCACGCTGCCTGAGTCATCAGGCTTGCAAAGGAAGTCCGTGTTTAACCTCTCGCGGGCCAATCACAAAACAAAGCATAATTTGCAAACTAGTTGAAGCCTAGCTTGACATTTGCCCCTTGTAGCCCCTGTTTGTCTCCCCAAAACAGAGAGCTCACGAAGGCAAACAAACAAACAAAAAACCTTTTCACACACTGCCACCAGTTGATTTCTTTACCAATGTACTTTACTTAGGAAATACAAAGGTCCATTCATCACTGTCTTTTGAATAAAACAGGTTTATTGATTACAGATGTTTCTATAATAATTCATAAGTATCTTCTTCAGGTTCATCAAGCGTCAATAACAATCTTCTATATTATCTTACACTCCTCAGACTAAATCACTCCTCAGATTTCCAACTATCTCTCTCTCTCCCCCCCCCCTTATTCAAACTCAGAGCCAGACTGTAAACTAAACTCCTCCTCTCTGGCTCCACCTTTTAACATCTCTAGTGGCCCCACCTCTCAACCACATCAGCATAGAACATGAATACCGCATGACTTATTTAACATAAAAAGGGTGAACGCCACCATGCAATAATGGGCTCAAGCTACGGGAAGCCAGATTTAGGCAGAATAAGAGCTTTTAGAAGGAAAAACTTCCTAACGGGTTAGGACAGGACAAGGAAACTCATGACCATGGGAGGTGGTGAGCCCTCCAACGCTGAAGCCCTTCAAGGGAAAGTTGGACCACTATCTGTCTGATCTGCTCGGATTTGGATTCCAGCCTTGAGCAGGGGGTTGGAGTCGATGGCCCTGTAGACCCCTTCCAACTCCCTGATTCTGTGATTCTTCGACTCTGTAAAGATCTTGAGAACCAATTGTGTCTAAATGTCCTGAGATGGATGAAACCTTACATCCACACTTTGAGCAGATGCTCCAGGTTCTCAGCTTCCCATCATGGAACTGCTATTCTACTGCCAAAATTAGGGAAACAACATATATCCAAGACAATTTGGGGGCTGTGTGTTCTATTTCTTTTCTTTCTTTCTTTTTTTTTGCCCCCCCTCGCAACCTCGTAGCCCCATTGTCGGTAACACCCTGCTGATTAAAGATTCCTGAAGGATTCAGAAGCTGGACTTGCTAATGATATTTGCAGGGTACTAACAAAACTATTACTCAAACATGATTTTTTTTTTTGTCCTACTTGTGGACTACATGGCTATGGGTTTTGTTGCTTCAATCCTCCGCAGTCTTCGTCCAAATCCAATTGCTGGTTCTGATCATGTTTGATCTATTAAATTATTTTTGGAATGGCTTAGTCAACATTGACATAGATCTCACAGATTCAACCAATAGGCTGAGACCCGGCTGGGGCTACCAATTCGGTTCAGGCCCTCATTTTTATCTCTACATTGTGTAAAACCTCCCCCTCCTCCAAAGTTTGACATTTCTCAGATCCAAAGAGAGTAGGATCCCCCCGTATCCACGGGATCGGTATCCACAGTTTCACTTATCTACGGCCTGAAAACATTTAAAATATATTAAAAAGAAAAACCAGAAATATATATATTCCCATGATGCAGTCACCAGAGCTGGACACTAGTGGGAGCCAGAGACTATGCTATATAAGTGGTTCACTATTATCCACGGTTTTTGTCATCCGTAGAGAGCTTGGAACTGATCTGCCACAGATACGGGAATCCTACTGTGTTCAGAAAAGGACCATATCTCAGTAGATTGGATCCAACAATAACCCCCCACATGCACAACAGCTAGTTTACACCTCATGCTACAGTATTTTGCAAGAAGTGAAGCCAAAAATGTTGTTTGCTTGTCCAACGCCTTGCAACTGAGAAGCCTGACATCTGCTAGAGCAGCTGTTTTCAACATTTTTTTTGGCCACGGCCCTTTTAGGAGCTCTTCCCAGCTTCCAGGGCCTCCTGTCAAACAAGGGGAGCCTTTGGCTGTGGGCAAACAAGGATGAATCTGTGGCCCCCTTCAAATTTGCAATTTGCCACAGCCCTAGTTGGGCATGGCCGTAGTAGAGAACAGACAAGGGACATTCACATTTCATAAATCTTTGCATGGTTGCTTGAAGTAACAGTCATGGTAGGAACTACATGTTTACTTTCCTTGGATCCAACCCAGCGTGGAAAAGGGAGCCAAGGCGAATCATGGGGTTTCATACGAAAGTAAGGTGCTGCTCCTCTGGAACATTGTACTTCAGTTTATGGTCTTCGAAAAGCTTACTCAGTTCTTCCATGTATACCTGATGCAACTTGTCCACCTCTTCTTCACTGGCGTTGGGCTTCTTTTCCACGTGGATGGGCTTTCCAACTTTGGCATGGAGAGGGGCAGAAGGCAAGCAAGAGGATTATTCACTCATTCGCTGGGCGAATTTGTTTGTATCCTCCCCCCCCCCCAAGTGTTGGCATCCAGGCTCAACCAAAGGCCTTTTAAATGGCACAAGACTTTCAGATCCCTTGAACGTCAGCCCTCAGAATTTGCTAGGAATTCTCCCAGACAAGATCCTATGGGCTTTAGCCAAGAAACCAAAGTCCATACTGGAATTTTCAATTGGACAGAGGTAGGGAATGAAGGCTCTAACAGCCATTATCTTCTCTAAAGAGGAAAGAGGAAATGAGTGGATTAAGCTCCTTGGGAGCCTAAAGGGATTAATGGATGTGGGGGTGGGTGGGTTACGAGAGTTTAATAGGCAGAGAAACCTCCCAGTCCCCTAATCCTTTGCAGCTCCCTGGAATTCCCACCTATTTCCCCTTTTCCCCCCTTCTGGTTTAACAAATGGGGCACAAGGAAGCCTTTCCCAACCTTCTGTGTTGGACTACGAGTCCCATCATCCCCAGCAGCAGAGCTACTGACACGACACAACAACAGACCAACATGCTCTAAGTTACTTTCAGCAAGCTGGCACCCTCCAGATGTGTTTGACCATCGTTCTCATGGTCCATTAGCCATGCAGCTGGATATAATGGGATTTCCATCTGACATCCTGGCAGGGTGCAAGCTTAGAGAATGACGGTCGACACAAATATAGTCACAAAATCAAGAAGATTCCATTTTGGATTCTCTAACTCTGGCGACCCCAGTATAGACTTTGCCACATCAATGTATGTGGCTTGATAAGGAAGAGGAAGCCAAATCATAGGAAAACTCTTGTTAGCAACGAAGCCAGAAGCTGTAAGATTATCTCTCCTCCCTCTCAAGCTTCCCGTTAATTGTATTTGTTAGTCAATAATGGGCTGCCCTTGTTTCAGCCTTGATTCATCTCATTAAGTGTCCTGTATTTACAAGGATTGGCGAAAGTTGTGCAAAACCCCAGAGATGATCCAAACAAGCTATAAAACAATTATGGGTAATTGCGGCCTGTCCAATCCCATCAGAGAGAAGGTGGCCTTACTCTCTCGAAACGGCCTTTTAAAATGAACTGCTCAAGAAGGAAAGGCTGAAGTTCTCCTGCTGGGTTGGATTACACCTTGTTTGCAGTCCTGGAAACAAACCTTCAGTTTTCCACAGGATTCCAAACAATATCTGCTAGGAAAGCTGACCCAGTGTTTTCACGTACAGTGGTGCCTCGCTAGACGATGATAATCCGTTCCACTGAAATCGCTGTTTAGCGAAATCATTGTCTAGCGAAAAGCATTTCCCCATTGGAATGCATTGAAACCTGTTTAATGTGTTCCAATGGGGAAGAATTGTTGTTGTCTAGCGAAGATCGGCCATAGGAAAGCCACTTTGCAAACCGCCAATCAACTGTTTAAATCACTGTCTTGCGAACCTTGGGTCCCGATAACACCTGTTTGTGAGTGTGGAGGGAGCTGTCAAAATCGTCGTCTAGCGAAAATCGGTTTGTGAAGCAGGGACCAAACATTGTCCGGCGAAATTCCCCCATAGGAATCACTCTTTTGCGAATCGCTATAGTGATCGCAAAAAGTCAATGTCTAGTGAAAAAACTGTCATGCGAGGCGCCACTGTAAAGACAGGAGCCCTGATTTTTTGGGAGGGCGATAAGCCGTAGACTCCCGACTTTCGACTGTTTGCTCTACAGCCCTCTCCCTTTTAGAACTTTTGCGACTGATTAGAAAGGAACGTTTGTCGTGGGGGAAAGCTGAGTAGCAACTGTGAAAAGCCAGCCTAAGGAACACTCTTGTTATTCTAACGTTGTTATTTTAAAACTGAGGTTCTCACATCCTTTACAGCACAAGCATCCACGAAATACCAGCATATCAAAGACACGGCCACCACAAGGTTAAACACCCACTGACTATCTTACCGCCAACCATGATCTCTGTATTTTGATAACTATATTTTGATGCCGTGTGTACATGCTTACTTTTATTGTTACAGCATCAAGCCATACATAAAACAAAATTGAATGGAGAGCTTCAAGTACTGACATATACTGCAAAATGGCAAATCAAATAAACAAAAAGCAATAAAACTACGAATATAACAATATAAGACCAATGTCTAAGGGTTTGGGTAGCTATTCTGGCTACTTTGGCATGCCGCCCAAAATTTCGCTTCCAGTTCCGTAGTAGTCCGATTTTGATCAGTTAACAATTGGTTACAGTAGTCCGAGTCGGATTGGCTTGTCACGTCTTTTAAGAGAGGTGTAATATCGTTTCCTCAAATCTTGTTATGCCTGTTACATCTGAGCATCATGTGTCTCACCACATCCACAAGGGCAGAGTCTCTGTTCCCTCGGGATCTTCTTAAATCTGCCTTCCAATACCGCTGAGGGAAAGGCCTCGCATCTAGCCAGAGTAAAGGCTTTCCTAAACTTATATGTCTCAAGCTGTGATAAATAGGCCATGGGGAGCAAGCGATATTTGTGCGTATCTATCACTCTAAAGTTGGGGCATCTACTAAGATCTACCTATCTTTCCAAGTCCATTATTCTCTGTTTAAGGGCTGATTTTCGCTTCATCCCATTGCATACTCAATATTGCCCATAACTTGCAATTTGTTTAGGATCGCTTTCAGCCACTTCGATTGAAAATTGTCCTCTAGAAGTAGATGGGTTAATCCCTGTAATTGAACATTTATTTTCAGCCAATACTGAAGGGAGGCTAGTGTGATTTTGGCTACCATTGTTAGTCAGCCTGTCTCTAAACGAATTTGTGCATTCATTCCACAACTTGGAACTTCAAGAATTGCTCTAAGGAATTTAGTCTGAACCCGCTCTATTGGGTCAAAGCAGCTAGATGGAAGCCCTATAAAGGTGCCGTAGAGCATCTGGCTGGCCACCTTTGCTTGAAAGAGTTTTTGGCCTGGTGGAATATATTGACCCCTTTTGGAATGGTAGAACCTTAAGATGCCCTTTGCTATTTTTTCCCCCTTGGGGAAGCTGCATATTGTATATGAGCCTTTCGGGCCATACCTAGATATTTATAACAGGAAACCTGTTCAAGAGATTGCCCATTTATAGTCCAAGACCTTTTCTTTTGTCTTCTACCAAAGGCCA